ACACACACACACACACACACACACACACACACACACACACACACGCTTTTTTTTCCATGTTAACCTAAACAAAGTCCCTCCCTTACAATAGATATATAGGGGTTATACAAGGCCTGTGCAACAGACGGGATGCTATACTTAGATGTGAAGGACACAGAACAGGATAAAGGAAGTTAGCAAGCAGGTGAATTGGCAGCAGGCGGTGCTCACCAGCCACAGGCTCCGTTCTGTTAGTCATCCCATAGTATGGACAGGAGTTCTGCTGAACAGCTGCAGAAGGATCCCTCAGTACGGTTAAGATTTTTAGGTCATAAACCCAACTTCTACAGTAGGTTCAGCAGACAGGAATCAGACAGAAGCTGTCCTCGCACCCCCCTAACCCTAACCATATTACCAGCCTCCCTTACTTAACCATATTACCAGCCTAAATTTCCATCACTACCACCATGGAAGGGACTCACCCAAGTGGCTGTCAGCACTCCCAGTGTGTGAGGCAGGTAACTGATGGATTACATGATGCTCCACATGTTCCTCTTTCACAATGACTGCTGGGTCAGAGGGGAGACACCATTGTAGTTATGAAAAATTCAGACTTTCAAGAGGAAACCTGCATTACATCCAGCTACAGGCAGGTGAAAGAGTAAAAGCAAACTGCTGAAAGCGGATAAAGGGCCAAATTCATTTCCATTATTTCCAACCTGATCAAAGACTTGTGGGGGGCACCAGCTTCTGAACCTCACTGGGTTCAGTATCACTGTCTGAAAGGGCTGTGGCTTAATGCGTTGCCGCACCCACTACATGATAAACCACTTTTGCAGATGCGAACCTGAGTGCAGCCATGCAGCGGCAATACCTCAGCACCACACCAGTCCAAATGGACCATTGCGAGTTCTTTTCTGGTGGCTGGAATGCCACCAACCCCCAAGATATTCCCTGTAAGTTGGAGGACCTCCTTATAGGGCTGGATGTAGATTAATGTCATACCCACGATGAAGCAATTGCAGGTTAAGGGCCTTGTTCAAGGGCCCAATGGAGTAAAATCACTCCAGGCATTCACAGGATTTGAACCAACAACCTTCCTGTTTCTGGCACAGATCCCTAGCCTCAGTGCCACCACTCCGCCCGTCAGGAATAAATGCAATTCTAATAAAACGGCTTGCTGATGTAACTTATGGTTACTATGTTACTCACCTTCATGCTCTTTTTTTATTGTTAGATTTTTAGCAGATGTTTTTGGGCCTGCCCAGCCATGCATCTGGTCTGGAAATATAAAGGGGGTATTTATTGAAAATAGGGTGTGAATCGCCATTGTACAAAAGCTCAAGGACTAGAAAAACGGTCAAGAAAAATTTAGCCACAACTCGACCGAAAACACGGAACACAAAACACAGACCTGCATCTCTGATCAAAGATGCATCTCTGATTGGCTGACACAAAGGACTTAAGGAACTACTGGGATGTTGATGATGCCTATGAATTGCGCTCAGCCTCGTGGTACCTCTCTAATGAGTTCAATGTGCGAAACCTTGGTTTCTGTGATGTTTTTTTTGGTTCTTTGTTTACAGTACATGTAGTGAATCAGCCCCTAAGAATCGTAATCAGGGCCCCTAAGAAAGTAAGGAGTGATAATAGCAAACCAAAGAGGAAAGCAGTGAGAATAACTGTAGAATTTAAAAAGGAAATTATAGCGAGACTTGAAGGTGGTGCACGTCTGCCTGCTCTCATTTCGGAATGTGGGATTCTCATTTACTTCATGTTTATTGCTTTTGTATCTATGCTTTTTAAGAACATAAGAAATTTACAAACAAGAGGGGGCCATTCGGCCCATCAAGCTCATTTGGGGAGAACTTAACTAATAGCTCAGAGTTGTTAAAATCTTATCTAGCTCTGATTTAAAGGAACCCAGG